AGTTCTTTGTGCTGTTGCCGTCTGTTAAAGACCAGGAATGTAGATGATCTTTGTCCAATTAACATATTCCGAAGACACAAACGGTAATCGGGAGCACATCGGCTGTCATAAGCTAGATATGGGAAATGTGGCAGTTCGAACAATGTTCATAATTAAATTGAGGTAACTATTCGAATTCGGGAAATATACCGAATTCGATATTTCGTATCTCAAAGGAAAAAGAAAAACCTTCGATTTATTGATTGTTTTGACATCAAGAATCGCTCAAACGTATAATAAATGTCAAGGGGGACGAAGGAAATCCGAGATATCAAAGAATTTCAAGATTGAAATCTGAGATATCAAATAGTTTGATGCATCATAATTCAAGTTACTGAGTAAAAAAACATTGAAGTTCGATATTTGGACACTCGAAAGGGCACAGCTTCATTTTGAAACGGGTGTAATTAATTTCTTGTAAAAGTATGTGAAAATATTCACAAGGAAATAAACATTTACATAAAGCTCTTCTTGGCTTAAGACTTCAATACTGTCAGTATATGATAAATTATGTTTCATCTATAAGTTTATGTGTTTTTTCTGTTCTGCAGACTGACAAAGAGCCCCAGAGGGAAAGACCAATGATTTACCAAAACTCTCCTGATGGAGGGGCGTTCTTAGCAGCACAACCTGTTCCACGTTCTGGAGCCTTTTGTTACTTGGCAGTGATCAGTAAAGATAATTAGCTTCTCTTCCTTCATACGGTATATCAGTTAGACGAGTCCAGTTTTATACATAATAAATTTATTTTTTGTAAGTAGTTTTGATTTGTTTTGTTTTTGTGTTCATTTCAATGCAATTACAAGTGTAAGGTGGAGCTTCAACAGGGGTTATGTGCATTACTTCTAAAAAATTGAAAAATTATTTATTACATTTTATTTATGAAGTAACAAACATTATGGATTTTATTATCATTATTGTTATTATTATTACTATCATTATTATGAATATTTTATTATACACAGTTGAAGGGAAGAAAAATTAATTTGAATAATTATTACACACATCAAGTGAAAAGAAAACGTGACATTCAGTTAAATCCATTTTTTTTAAATCTGAGAATGGCTTAGTTCCAGTATTTGCGGAGCATGTTTCCTAAGACCAATCCAACTGGAGGGATTTTAGAGTAGAATAATCATCACAGAAGCTAGTACAATAATTATTGTTTGAAATCATTATTTTATGTAGTGTTGCTGGAAGTCAGTGAATTGCAATGAGTCGCATTGTTTCATATTTCATTCAAGAGTTTTAAGGAATGAAATTTTGGATTAGGTTTGTTTCGCAATAAAATGTAGAAGTAATGATATAATAAATGGCAACTTGAAAATAGATTTTGTAATACTCAATATGAAATGCTGCGAAGAAATATTTTTAGAGAATAAAAAAAATCAGCAAATATATCTACAATTTATTAATTTTATTACTTTAATCAACAAACTCCACGTCTGTTAAAATTAATTTCTTATATTGAATGATTTTTAACGTGTATATTGACATCTTAGGTGAACGAAAACAATACAAATATAATGAAAAATAAAAGAAAATGCAAGAACAAGAGTATTAAATATTTAACGGCAAGTCTATTTGTGTTTTCTTCAGACAAAATTTGACACTTTGACAACTTTGAGGCTTCTTAGATGACACATTCACTGCTATTTCTATAATATCAGTCTTCAAGAAACTTAAAAACGTTATTTTTCAGAAATGATACAGCCTCCTTTGAAGTTCCACCCAACATACAAATGCGTGTACACGAGTATATTTCTTTGACGTACAAATCGAGTTCACGGGTATACTTCTTTCAGTCAATTTGGGGCATACTCATTCTTCCACGGGCGTGTGGATGCAGGACATGAAATAATGCATGTGGGCTATGAAAGAGAACAAATGTTCATGTGGTGATATTAATGTAATCACGTGATCATCACTATACAGTATTTCAGTAAAGCTGTTGAGTGAGCTGTTCAGATGTGCTTTTGCCATTTCGTCACTGGCGTCCAGACCACTTTCCGTGCACCAATCGAGACGAATGAGGTGTCTTTGGACGCGTCTCGGGCTCCTGAAGGGGGAACGGATACTGTGTTTTCGGATCCCGCTTTAGATTTAAAGAAATTTCCAAAAACGTGTTTTTTCGTGTTTTGACCCTGCTACATTGGGCGCACCTGAATTATTACATATGCTACTAAGATGTAATACATAATACAAATAGAAACTGCGTCCCAAAGATTTGCACACCCGTGAGCCACCACGGGCTCGTCAATCACATGCTAGTGAGTCGTACGCCGAGAATAGGCAACACACACAACGGACACGAGTTATTTCCGAATGGTTGCGTCGACCCTTCCGCAGGAATGTGTCCTGCGGGCCACATGCACCGGAAAGTCGCATCTGCAGCGCAATGGAAATCGATAGGTTGTCGAACATTTTAATGTAAGGCTCGAGTGGTCAAAGTATAAATATTTAAAGCAGGTTAAGGGGAACTAAAAACCGGTACACTATAAAAAATATGTTAAAGTATGAGATATCGAAATACATATGCGTCGGGCACAAGCTCTTTCCCTAAACTACAGTGAACGTAAAATTTTAGTAATTTCTGCCGAGATCTTTAGTTAAACTACGTTGATATTGAAGATGGAGAAAATGTCATCATACTAATTTTATTAATAAATGTTGATCTCTTGGTTCCCTAACGACAAAACTATCGTATAGAGCGCCAGTCGTCTCTCAGAACTTTAGGGACATATAATATAAAGATCACTTTGCTAGGAAACTGCAGCGACTTTAGCTTTCGAAACCTTGTAATATTCCCCCAAGCACTTTAGTCAGTGAATATTTGTCTCACTCTCTCTAAGGGGTGATCGAGTAGTTCCTATTAAAGTATTTTTTTGAAAAATCCTATCTACCTGTCAAAATTCTAATAGCGTATGTCGCCTGAGAGCAATTCCAGATTCAGTAATTCATGAAATTCTTGGAACATATTTTTAATCACGGTTGTAGGGACGGTTAGGAAATTGATAAAAAGGTCATTTATAGGGTTGATGGTTTCTTTTAACTTTAAGAACCTACAATGTAAACGTCACTATTCTAGGACACTGTCGTGACCTTAGCCTGATGATTAACTATTTGAGGAATCATAAATGCACGCTTCAACACAACACACATTGCGACCTTTGAACAATGCGGAGGTTTGACAAGTGGTCACAGTCGCCTTGCCGTCTTACCGCTTGGCCTTGGTTACGAAATTCGTGCTTGAAATTTATGCAATTTCTAAAATATTGAAAAAATCTCAAAACCGCACCAAATTTTTTCTTTCAATATTCTCCTCGTTTGTATCAAAGGACGGTCAAAATATGGTGCTATTCCCACTTTCGGCAAACACTATATTTTTGAAAATTGCAAAAAGTTTACTTTTCACACTTTGAAGTTAAACATTTTTGGCTGAAAGAAAATCTGTTCTAAAAAACAGCCCTTTAAAAAGGGCATGTACCATTTTCTGAAAAAAAGCGAGTAGTTTTCACGTATTTCACGTTTGAAATTATGCAAATTGTAAAAAGAATATCACAAAAAAAAACGCTCAATTTTTATCTTTAATTTCTTTTCCAAGGATAAAACTAGGGAAGTCTACTCGTAAAAGAACGGTGGAGATCTCATTTTCGTTTGTCTCCGAATTGCGTGTTGGAAATACTGGGTTGAGACAGTTACATTTTTAAGCGTCGGCCCGAGTTGATACGTCAGGGCGGCTGCTTGGGGTAGACACAAGGTGAGTTACGCGCGGTGTAAGGCACACGGTGAGTTAACTTGGAAGACCTAAATTCAAGTCTCGGTGCGGAAAAAACAAAAGCTTATTGAAAATAGTTTTGCAAGGGCGAGTAGAATAATATTGCAAAGCAGTTACAAATAAAAGAGCGAGCAAGTATAGACTGTTGTAGTGCCACTAGTTTGACACACACAACCAGATCCTGCTAGTTCGCCAAAACGAAGGAAAAGTCTTCCTGATGCCAAAGGCCTTGACTGAGTGTCACTGTTTCATAAGTCCGCTTGCAATATCGTGTATTTGACATCCACAGTATCATAAGCATTACGGGCCTTATGTATATATTACCGTACGGTAACAAATTTTCAGCATATTATTGGGGATATTGCACACAATTCTATTATTAATACACACACACATACTCTATTGTATTACGGTAATGTTTCACCTCACGGTAGCGTATTACCCATGTGATGTTTCTATAGTTATTTCGAAACAATGCGACTTTCTCATTTCTGTGCATCGGACAGCTCTGTTCTATCCACATTTCGAAATGTACGTGTTTAACTAAAAATATAGTCTCACTTCCGTTTATGCTGTTCAGTCACAAAACCAGTAACCCGGAAATGCTGCTAGGTCTGTGCTTAAATATCATATTGGTTGTCTACCACGGAAACGTTCGAACCTTTCACTCGAATGGCTCTCTTTCACCTTTTACGAAATACTTATTGGAATCGACCGAAAAAGCACCGACACAATATACTAATACGAGAATATCCAGTATCAGCGAGACAGTAGGGAAAGGAAAAGTTTATTCCAAAGTTTGTCTTCAAATCAACCTCCATCAAGGGAAAAATCAAGTTGTAAAATTGAAGCAATAATTTAATAAACATTTGTGAAGTATCAGATCAATACGTATTAACTTCACTAATCATTTCAATTTAGTAGAAGTCAATTCTTAAAGTTTCAGAACGTAAAAAATGGCGAATGAAATAATATTTAGTTCATTTAAATAAGACAGAATATATAAATATCACATAAAAAAGTGTTAAATCCTGTGACATGACCACTACAAAACATTTTACATTTTACGCATTACATTTTAGGGAGAGCGTAGGCTTCCGCGGCCGGAGTCAGTATTTACTAGGCCTTCCGGGCAGCCTAGTAAATGCATTATATTTTGATGTGGAGTTCATACGCTTTGATATTTTTTGTTTGTTTTTCCTTGTTGTTTTTTAACGTAGAGAGCTCTAATTTCTTACGAATAAGTGGCTGAAAATACTGCAACCAATCACGTCTTGTTTGAAAGAAACGCTTGTCAATAAAACAGAAACGGTTTATTAGCAAAGGTTTAAAAAGAAGTCCGTAAAATACAATGTGCCTATTGCCTGGGGAATATCTCCATGTAGAAGTACGCGCCGCACCTGGGCAGAGGGCGGGGAACGACAAAGGAGCCGCTGTTCTCGTCGCTCGCTTCGCTGTGCGCGCTCCCCACAGGTTGCAGGCCTTCCAGAAGGGAAGACGTCGGGGCGCCCAGCGACCGCGACTCTTCTCGGGCGACGAGCTCCGTTTCAGACTTCCCTGGAACAAACTATTCGGGGTTCTGAAAACGCTTCCTTGAAAATTA